GTTATTCTAAATTTACTATTCATCGTTGCACACTTTTTTTTTTTCTGCACATGATGCACTGACGGACACTAAATCTCAAACCACAAACTGGAAAATGACAACGAACATGATGAGTTAGCGACTTGACCCGTGAAATCATTAACAAAAAGAAAAAAAGGGTTCTCTAAAATGTTATTAATTATCAAATCCCACGAAAAGGATGCTTATTTATTTAAGACTTCATTGTCCATACGAGGCATATTCGAATTATACAATGCATCATGGCCCCCACAAAATTTCTGAAATCTCAAAAACTCTGTAAGCCTCTAATATCATTTGAGGTGTCCAAGCCATGCAGGAACACAGAATCAATCTATGGTTGCCACGTGGAATCTACTACACTACAAATGTTGCATTCCCAGTGCAATGTTTTGAAGCAATTCAATAATTCACTGATAATGTTTCATTTTAATGCTTTGTCCTTCTGATTAACCTTGCATCTTGGTCATTCAAACTCCAGCAAACCTCTTCAGTCAGGTTTCTTCATTGCCTGGTTAGTTGGTTCCTTTTCTCACTTTCTTCCCTCTTTTCAGTGGTCCTGGTTTGATGTGCCATTTTTTCAAGTGTCAATTGTTCTTAATAATTCAAGACAGTTTTTTTTTTGTTTTTTTTTTTATTTTAAAAAAACATGGTTTCCCTTTTCATTGCAATGATGCCGCCATCTTGAATATATGAAAAAGCTCAGAGCTTTGGACTCATAACACTGAATAGAAATGTGTTGCTTCAAGATGATTTCAGTTGAGGAAGTAAGAAACTTTTTTGTTCAGAGTAGGTACCAAAAATGGCAACTTTGACTGCTTCGAGTAACTTGATCTCTGGAAGTTCTCATGCCCAACATGGACCAACCGCATCATATGAGTCTAAAGCAGTGGCAATGAGATTGAAATCTCTAAAGCACACCAATACTCATAATGGACTGAGAATTTTGAACCCGGTGGATGAGCTACTTAACCGGACCCCAATCAAAACCAGCTCAGTACAAGCTAAGAGGAAGGGACTTCAAGGCAAGAATGTCAAGCCTAAAGGTGTAATCATATGTGGCATGAATTTGATTTTTGTTGGAACGGAGGTGGGTCCATGGAGCAAAACTGGTGGGTTAGGAGATGTTCTTGGAGGTCTTCCACCAGCATTAGCAGTAAGCTTAATGTTATTGTTTTATTGATTGAGATATTTGAAGTTCTTGAGAGCAAGATTCCCTCTAATTAGTCCTTCTCTAGGGTTATGGACATCGAGTTATGACTATCGCGCCTCGTTATGACCAATACAAAGATGCCTGGGATACAAGTGTTGTGGTTGAGGTATGTTCTTGACTTTTCAATTTTGTGCTGATAGAAGAGGTTTTCACCCAATTGGGATCTGCTGATTGCAGCTGAAAGTAGGGGATAGAACTGAAAAGGTTCGCTACTTCCATTGCTATAAGAGGGGAGTTGATCGTGTCTTTGTGGATCACCCTTTGTTTCTTGCAAAGGTTGGAATATTTCTTAATTTTTCTGTCATACTGTTTTGCTATCAGATACTTATTACTGACTGAACTTCCAGGTCTGGGGGAAAACCGGAACAAAACTTTATGGACCAACTACAGGAGATGATTATGATGACAACCAACTACGTTTTAGTCTATTTTGCCAGGTTCTATATCGCATCCTTTCGATATTTTCAGTTTCTATAATCTTTTCGGTAGAAAACTTTTACTTCCAACCAGAAAAGATTATAATAAAACTAGTATTTTTTCCTCAGATACACGTTTTAACTTGGGAGGAGGTTTCACTATTCTACTAGCTTCACAGATTGTTAGACATCATGTTATTTTTATGGCGGTGTGGCACATTTTAATAGAATATAAAAAATGTATGTAGTTTGCCACTGGAAATATTCTCTTTGCAACATGTTTATAAGTATTAATATGAAATTCTGAGTGCAAGAAGCTACTTGCAGAGTTGCGTGAGTTATGTGATGGATGAAGCAGCAATATGTGCTCTTTATAATAACTGATCTACATCTAATTTTTACTTTCCTTATTTTTTCTCTTTGAATTGATCTCCAGGCAGCTTTGGAAGCACCAAGAGTTCTCAATCTCAATTCCAGTAAATATTTCTCTGGACCATATGGTATGGACTAAGTTCATAGATGAAGTTCTTCAAAGCTCACAACAACAGAGAATATTTTGTGCATGATGTTTAAATTTTTCTTTTGCAGGTGAAGATGTAATTTTCATTGCCAACGATTGGCACAGCGCCCTTATCCCCTGCTACTTGAAATCTATGTACCAGTCAGTAGGCATCTATAAGAATGCTCGAGTAGGTCTAAATCACACTGGCTTGTTATTCTATGCATGATCAACTTACAAGCTCTTCAAATTTTCTTTTTGGTTGTTGCTATTACCAGGTTGTTCTATGTATCCACAACATTGCTTACCAAGGAAGATTTGCATTCGCAGACTATGCACTTCTAAACCTCCCTGACCAATTTAAAAGCTCCTTTGACTTTATTGATGGGTATGTTGCTCATAAGTTGCGAATTGTAACCATTGCAGACAGCTAAAAATTTTAACCACTTTATGTTGTTCTAATATTGCAGGCATCTTAAACCAGTGGTTGGAAGGAAAATCAATTGGATGAAAGCTGGAATTATAGAATCATGGTTTGTGATAACTGTTAGTCCAAACTATGCTATAGAACTATTGTCAAGTCCAGACAAAGGTGTGGAACTGGACAACATCCTTCGCAAAATTGAAGAACGTTTCATTGGAATTGTGAATGGCATGGATGTTCAGGAGTGGAATCCATCCACTGACAAGTATATAGCCGTCAAATACGATGCTTCAACAGTAGGAACTTCTTTTAAGAGTTAAAGTATCTCTAAATGTGTCATGTCTCATAATAGAAACGAATAAATAACGAATTCCCCTTCTTAGGTTTCGGAAGCAAAGGCTCTTTTGAAAGAAGCCCTTCAAGCAGAAGTTGGTTTGCCAGTGGACAGAAATATTCCTCTCATTGGTTTCATTGGTAGGCTTGAGGAGCAAAAAGGTTCCGATATTCTTGCAGAAGCCATTCCCCAATTTATCAAGGAGAATGTTCAGCTGGTAGCCCTAGTAAGTATAAAATGAAAAAGAAAGGAAGTAAACAGTTTTTTAACCCTTCAAACAAAAGAAAAGAAACAAGAAATCTCATTCAAGGATGTTTTTGTTGATGTTTTAGGGAACAGGAAAAAAACAAATGGAAAAACAGCTTCAGGAACTTGAAATAGCATACCCTGACAAGGCCAGAGGAGTGGCAAAATTCAATGTTCCCCTGGCCCACATGATAATTGCTGGTGCTGATTTTATATTGGTTCCTAGCAGATTTGAGCCTTGTGGTCTCATTCAGTTACAAGCTATGCGCTATGGAACAGTATAATCCCTGCTTTGACAATCCTTCATATCTAGTGTAACATTTCCCAGTCTTTACATTTTTCTTCAACTTTTATTCTTCACTGTGCTAGGTACCTATTGTTGCCTCAACCGGTGGATTAGTTGACACTGTCAAAGAAGGCTTCACTGGATTTCAGATGGGTTCCTTCAATGTTGAGGTAATATCTTCCATCGGTTCATAATCTCCAAGTGTGCCATTAGTACATGAAGTTCTAACCATTATTCTATTTTTCAATATCTAGTGTGAAGCTGTGGATGCTGCTGATGTAGATGCTATAGCAAAGACTGTCAAAAGGGCCCTTGCAGTCTACGGAACTCCAGCTTTCACAGAAATGATCAAGAATTGCATGGCTCAAGATCTTTCATGGAAGGTGAGTGAGAGCAGAACTACCTGAGTGTTACATTTTATAGATTAAGTTTAATGATCAACTGTAGACCAGTTTTACAAACTTATCATACTATATTTCTTTCTTTAATCTTGGTAAATTTGTTTTGGAAATAGGGACCTGCTAAGAAGTGGGAGGAAGTGCTGCTAAGCTTGGGAGTTCCTGGCAGTGAACCTGGAACTGATGATGGAGAAGAAATTGCTCCACAGGCAAAGGAAAATGTGGCAACTCCATAATAAGACCATATATGTGCAGGAAGCCTTTTTAGTGAGTCTCATGAAGTTCCCTAAGCCATTTGTTTCTTATGGTTCTATCCTACTTCCATTTTTTTTGTTTTCTTCAAAATATATCATAGAAATTAATGTACATGGACTCCGTGATTACACTGTTCGGATCAGTGTTTTCAACGTATTTATAAGAGTATTTCTTCAAGATTAGCATGCATAAATTAAAGCGTTTCTTAGCAAGCTATATATGATACTGGCTAACTTCTACTGCTTAACTACTGTATTTTGGCTTCAACAGGTGTGTTTATTTTTGTAAAATGTAATTTTACAGCATAAAAATGTCATGGCCATTATAATATTTTACAATAAATGTTGGTTGTTAAAGACACGTTTAATTGAAAATAAACTAACATTTTACACTATAAACTAATTTGTTAATTTTTTAACGTAAATTATTTTATGTTAAGCTCAAGTTTAATAAAATGAACTGTAAAAAAATGAAAACATTATACAAATAAATACTAAATAGTTTAATTTACAAGGGGTCCAAGTAGTTAACATTTTTTTAATAATTAATATAATTCTAAAAGAAGTAATTATTTCCTTCAAATAGTATCACCAAATGGCACATTCAGAAAAATAGCTGTATGACTTCACCAGTTGTCGCATAATTCTTTTTAAGAGAAATTTTATACTTTCTCTTAAAAGGGTTGGAGCATGGAAATGTTTTTTTCTGTATCTTATATATCTTTTATTGCTGATAAAATAAAACCTTATGAGCCATTTGCCATTTCATACAAACAAGGTGTCATTATTGTAAGCTACTTAGAAAAAATAATCTATTAGGAAGAGTACATTCAATAGTGAGAACATAAAGGAAGGATTAATTTGGTCAATTAGTGGACAAACTTAATATAATGTACATCATTAATTCATTCCTTGAACGAACCCTTTCGTTTTTGGGTTGTTGGATTACTTCTCTTGGTACATACTTGTATCTTTGCCTCTTCTGTAATCATGCTTTCAAGACATCATTTGATTATTTATGCGAAGATTCAGCTGAAGAATCTTGTTCAGAAGTTATTTCACTGGTTTGTGAAGCATCTGCACATGTTCTTAGTGTCTCTCTTTTTGTTGTTGCAGTTCTGGTAACTGTTACATGATTTTTCCTTTTAATGCAATCTTGCTTAAATTTGATAACTGAAGAAACAATATCAGTAACATAATATATATAGATATATATATATATATATTTTACCTGCACTAATAGTTGGCCTTTCCATTGACGAAGGAAATCTAAGGATACCAGGTGAGTCATAGTGCCTAGGAATAACTGGAGAATGCATCATTTGGGGATAATGGAATCCAAAACCTTGAGCTTCGATATTGTGTGCATACTGAGAAAAAAAAGGGTAAGTGTTATGGACCAATCTTATAGGTTCAGATGGTCCAATGTAGGGGTAGTAAGTTGAGAACTGTTGCTCTCCAAGTACTCCATAACAGTTCTACAAAATTGTGCAGACAAAAGTATGCCAAAGTTATTGAAGACACATGTGCATAATCAATCATTCAGAAATAATTATTGGTACGAGTTATACGTGTGAAACATTTATTGCACAAACACCTACCATCATCGGGTACATCATGTCATGTGAAGGTTGAATATATCTGCTAAAGTGGCAAAGAAGCAAAATCAAAAGAATGTAGAAATAAAAGCGATAAAATAGAGCTTCAAAATAGCAAAATGACCAAAAGTTCTACCCAAAAGTTGAATTAGGAATTGTGTATTGTCCATTGTTTTCATGGAAAAATGCAGAGAAAGGATCATGATAAACAGGTGAAGCCAATAAACCAGGTGCTTCTCTAAACCAGCCTGCACCCACCATGTGAAGTTATTTCTGAATTCTTCTTCTTATTTTGAGCATAAACAACTTGTGATGTTTAACACATAATTCATAACTAAATAGTAAAAGATTGAAAGGAAAAGTTAAAGGAAAATGGACAGATTGAGACCATGTTGTGGAGCCTGTCTGCGATTCTTGTTTGCACCAATAGATGCAATGTTGCAATTTGTCTTCCGTCCATCAATTATTGGATATGGGTTTTGAACTGCTTTCATTGCTACCTCAGGATCCTTGAATGTGATCTATGAAGAAAAAGCAAAACAAAACCACTCATAGTTTAAAAAACCACTTAGAAATTGAAATGGAGAAGAAACGAGACATGAGAATGAAAAGGGGAAAATTGTGCTTACAAAACCATAACCCTTGGATCTTCCAGTGTTCTTATCTGTGATAACAACAGCCTCTAAAATCTCTCCAAACTGCTCAAAATACCTTCTCACTGTGTCCCTTTGAGTTTCCCAAGCTAAACCTCCAACAAAGATTTTGGTAGAAGTTGTATCAATGTGTTCACTTGAATTGATGTTACCACCATCCATCTGGAATTGCTTTATGGAGATACTCTGTGTATTTCTAAATGATATACAACCTCAAATTTCCAAATAGGATGACAAATGTTCGAATGAAGATGACGTCAAATGAATTATCAATGAAAAGTTGAAAGCATTCATACACTTTTCATGCATAGATTATATTTGTAATAAGGTCACAACCACCATTTTACATCCAATAACAGAGCTTCTGGGTATTCATAACTTATTCTTACCTTCTAAGGGAAAGGAAACAAAAATCTGATAATAAAATATAATCATTGCAACACAAGTTATATAGAAGATTGAACATAATATTGAAACAAATAAGAAAAACAACCTTTTTTTACTGTTTCAAAGCTTTTCATGTGCTGTTTCATTCATAAAAAATGTATCATTTTGGGAGCACAGAACCTCTGCTTCGTTGTATTCAACTCCCTCTTGTGTGTGCCTTATCGACATGATACGATAATTTCCACATCAAATCATATTTTTTATAATAAATAACTGATTTTAATATTGCTTCTCTCTCTTTATATTTTCTTTCTACTCAATTCTATCTAAAAAAAAGATAACAAAAATTCGAAACTAAAATTAAATTCTAGATTTTAATTTGGCTCTTAATTTATTTTTATCTGTTAATACCTGAACCCAACTAACCACTCTCCCCCACTCTTCATTATTTGCCATCTATCATTTAAGAAAATAAAAATTATTAACATTAAAAGATAACAACACCCCATT